AAAAAAAAAAAAAAAAAAAAAATATACATATATATATACATGTATGTATGTAAAAAAGGTATGTATGTATGTATGTATGTATGTAAAAAAAAAAAAAAAAAAAAAAAAAAAAAAAAAAAAAAAAAAAAAAAAAAAAAAAAAAAAAAAAAAAAAAAAAAAAAAAAAAAAAAAAAAAAAAAAAAAAAAAAAAAAAAGAAATATATATTATATATATATATTGTATATATATATTGTAAAGAACAGCTGTTCTTTACGTGTAATATCGCACTGCACTTTATGAATTTACCTTTTAAATGTCACATCACACTTTAAATTGCACTGTACACATATTGTCACATGCTAATTTGCACATATAATGAATTGCACACAACTGTTGGGTAGAAAGACATTTATTGAGGGCTTGGGTTGTCCAGAGTCCGGTCTGCGGAGACAAACAAAACAGTTTGAATGGGGCTTTGTGCAATATATGTGTTGTGAGTTAGTTGTGTTTGGTATGGGTTCGGGTGTGTGTAGTGATGGGTCCAGCAACACTGATACACCGGCGCATGTGCCGAGTTCGTTTAGCGAAACCTCGTATCGGCGCGCGTGTCGCTTTATGAAAAAGCCACGTGACCAATACAGCCGCAGTGTTGCTTGTCACCGACACGGCAAACTGTGTTTAAAAGGTTCCGCATCTGCAAGTGTCACCGGTATGAACCGCTGTCAGAAAAAGAAAATAACCCTTTCAAAAAGGAAAAGCATCCCATTTTACAGCATAAAAAATGGAACCTGCAACTAAAAGAAAGTATTCTGCAGTGTGATACTGCAAAGAACAGCAAATAAGGCAATGTTTGTATTTTACGTTTCACGCTTTATCTACAATCAAGTTTTAGTTTGAAACGCAAAATCTAGTTAGGCATGGTGGATGAGTGGATAGCGCTCTCGCCTCGCGTTTGAGAGAACTGGGTACGAATCCCTGTCGGTCCTCAAAAGTTTATGTTGACATTACAGTCTTGAAGAATAATTTTGAGAAATTGAAGTGCAGAAAATGTCAAAGGTTTTTTCAAGTATACTTTAGTTGCCAGGGTTTACAGTGCACTTTGGACATGCTTATTGTTTTGAAAAAAAAAAAATAAAAATACATCACTCAATGACATTTTGCTTAATGAATACATTCACAACTATCACTTTAATTTTCACATAAAATAAAATAACACAGACAATGCAGTTACGTAATATTGTGTGCAGACAAGTATGTAAAGCTCATTGAATCAGTGAGTTGGATGCAATGATTTATCAGATCCACCAGGTGTCAGTATAGAGCAGCACAAGCAACACTGTTGCGGCACAGTATCAACACAGTTTGTTGGATGTGCCGAAACGATACGTGAGGTTTCATTTACCCATCACTAGGTGTGTGTGATGTGTGGGTTTTGCGGGTGAATGATATAAGTGTGGCTGTGATATGTATTTTAAAATTGTGTTTACTCACCACTGTCTTGTGTCCAGGTGCGTGGGCCAAAAGAGTCCCCGGGCCACAAACACCGGCATTTATGGTTCCGGCTGGACCAAGTCAATGAATTGGTGGAGGGGGGGATCTAGCACTGTTTTAGTCATAGTTGGTATAGATATTTTTGGAGGAGGGTGTTTTAGGAGTATATTTTTGTAGGGGGGTGTTTTATTATTGTAACTGGTTATTGGTATTTTAATGGAAGGTTTTAACATAGTTTTTAGAAGCTAATGTTAATGCTATACCCCTGGAGTTTTAATTGGTTTACCCAGTAGTATATAAGGCGCCCATTTTTACCATTCCATTGTCCTGCTGCTGGGGAACACATGCTCCTGTCCTTCATCCACTGTGTTGGTTGGGTTTGCATTTTTGCACCCTTTTCTTTGTCTGCACTGGTCACTTTAAAAAAAAGGGAAAAAAACAGAAAATAAAAATAAGTGGACCAAGCTGAAGCCTGCCTCCGTCAACTTTGTTTGGGTATATCTCACTGCCATCCAGCCGCTCAAAGCCAGGCCTGCTAACATATATATATATATATATATAAGAATTATATGAGCACAAGTGCGATGATTGACAGCCTTTGGTAGTGATGGGTTGATGAAGCTTCATGAAGTGTTGAACCTTTTCATCCATTGGTTCGAGAAAAGGTTCATTTCTTGATGCTTCATATGCTCACAAACCTCCTGTTGGTCAAAATCTGTATTGACAATTGAACTGTTTGTGAGGCTCTTGCGCATAGGAATTAATACTGGTAACAGAAATAAAAATGTAATTTGATTGTGTATGACCCATTAATTTATCTGTTTCATTATGATCAATACACACACACACACACACACATACATATATGTAGATATATATTTATATACATATTTAATGATGAATGATTATAGCTTTTCAAGTCAAAATCAATGTTATAAATCCAATAGGACAACAAACATGTTGAAAGTGTAAGTGCTTTTCAAAGGACGTGACACAAATGGGGATATCATTTGGGATTGTGACCCCATCAGTTGTTTAAAACCAAAACATTTCTGACAAAATTCTTTCTCGTGTATTTACATCGACGCACTCCCGGTGAGATTCGAACCCCGGTCTCCCAAGTCCCAGCCCTGCTTCCCTATCAATTGAGCCAACCAGCTGATACCTCAACCCTCTCCATCACTGACTACATTAATCACCAAAACAAACACACAGTTTGAGCGGATCTTCTGCAGTACTTCATGAATTGCTCCATTTCCTGTGCTCCCGAGGCTTCAAACGTCATTAGTGACGTCACTCATCTAAAACAACTCAGGCTTCGGCCCGCGCTCCGATAAAAACTTCAGGGATTTCTCGGCTCACGCCCCGAAGCGCCGACGCGGCACGACCCATCACTAGCCTTTGGCATCACTTGATTGGTTAAAGTGGACAGCATTGTGGATTTTGAGTTTAGATTAGGGAAGGTGGGATTTACCGATAATATTATAATTCACAAAATGTTATATCAACATTTAAGGCCAGGAGGTCATTCTAATATAACTCTAAAAATGTGTAATTCATTTAGAGTTCCAGACTATCACTTTAACCTTTTACATAGATAGATACTTTATTGATCCCTGTAGGAGAAAAGCAGGTGTCCAGCAGCAGAAGACTCATCCAGGTTTGTTGTACAGTCTGACAGTTGAAGAAACAATGGATCTCTTGAAATGTTCCGTTCGGCAGCGTAGTGATAGGAGCCTGTTGCTACGATTACTCCTCTGAGCGACAATAGTGTCATGCAGAGGGAGGTTTGAGGAAATGTTCGTTTTTTGGTTTAAAAAAAAAAAATCAATTATAGTATTTAGATGTTTTTAAATTTCAATTCTTGTCTCGGATTAATAAAAAATAAATCTGTTTTATATGATACTCAAAGATGATTCACATGCCATTCACGCTGACAGTAGCAAGGCAAACCCATACGCACTATCAGCCCCTCCAACCATTCACACACACACCAGACTCTAGGCGATGTGCGTGAAGAGTTCTGCCTAAGGACACAACAGTTTGGCACTTTACAGCCACAGCCGCCCCACTGTGGCACCTGCTGTTCCCAGAGGTCTCCCATCACAGTACTACCCAATCCATGCCCTGCTTAGTTTCAGAGGTCTGACGGGATCTGGCTTTCACCTGCAGGTATGGCCACAATTGAACCAAGGCTGGACCAAAACTAAAGACGGCTTAATATTGAGGAAATGTTTTTTTTTTATGTTTATGAATTTGCTTCTCAGGCCAGGGTTCAAATCCCAGGACACGGCCTTTTCCTGTGTCTGTGTAGGTTTCCTCCGGGTGCTCTGGTTTCCATTATCACTAAAAACATGCACAATGTATAAATCCTCCAGCTCCGGCCCTGATCAACCCCAAGCATCAACCCCAAGCATCAACATCTGTGGATGGGTGCCCGGGTGCTGTTACCACGGCAACCACTGCTCCTGACAGACGCCCTGTGGCAGTGAAAGATGGGTCAAATGCAGAGGACAAAGTTCCCTACGGGGATATATAAAGTTTGTGGATGGGAAATGGTCATGGTTCTTTGCCCAGGTCCATTATAGAAGGTGAGATTGTTTAATGAGTAGAAAATATACAGATTAACGTGTGTAATGGAATTAGTGTTGGTGGTTCACCTTCAGCTTTTAAAGGGGACGTAACATGTTCTCTAGAATAGGATGATGAACGGCCCACACTGCTCTTTATTAAATATGTGGTTCATATGAAGTATTGCAATTGAGCTAAAATAATGTTATAGAAGTGAGAAGTTGCAAAGCTCCGCCTTAAGCGCCCTGTAGCCCCGCCCCTTTGGCAGAGCATCACAGAAACATGCTCAAATACATGGTGCCGCTCCTCTGTAGTTATGCTTATCTCCTTTAAGCTACAATTAAGGCACACAGTGGATGGATCCTCCACATTTCACTGGTTCAGAAGAGAACATTTGGGGCTAAATTACGGTTGTCAGGGGACTGAGGGGAGTGCAATAGCGGTGTGCGTATGAAAACAGGTCCGATTTGATCTGGATCATAAGCTTTTAATGGTTTCCTCTTTTGCGTGTTTCATGGTGTGCAGTCCTGGTTCATTATCATTCTCTGGGGAGCGCTGCAGGCTCAAGTTTGGGCTAAACTAGTGCAGTATAACACAATGTTTCCAGTAATACCATTAAAATGACAAAATATCAGTTCATGGATGCTTAAGTCTTTTTTTTCTTTATTGGGGGAAAAAAAAACAGCTTTCATGAAGTTTGTTATTTCAAATACATAGATATTTCTGGTTGATAAAGAAAGAAACTTTCCTTAAAAAAGGCCAAAATACCAGTTGTGCACCTCTTCATCATTATCAGATCGTTTCTTTCTGGACTCATTCTTTCTTACATTTAGAAGGACACTTTGATGATAACACATGTTCACTGGTTCAGTTCATTTATTTTAAAAAGTTGTTGTCAGACAGAGGTAAAACATATATTGATGTCTTGATGAAGAGCAGGTGGTCACAGGGTCACTCCTCACATGTTGGTGCTCATTCGGCTCTGGCTGTTGGCCGCGGTCAGCTCGCCCTGGCTGCCTTCTCTGGGAGGGGACTGTGCACAAACAAACACAACAACAAAGATAAGATACTTCTCATTCACATTGTTTTCGTCCATATACTGCTATTTGCAAAATTCTTAGTAAAAAAGCGAAGGACAAATGTGACTTTATCCCAGTATTCCAGCGAACGTAATCAACGGTAGAATCAACGGTAAAAGTCAGAGAGAAACGATAACGTCGACTCAAACAGATAGTTTCTCTCTGGCTTTTAATCCTGAATGAATGAGTTGATCTTACCCTGTCTCTAGTTCCTGGCTCTAAAGCCTCACTAGTTTTGGCATCGTTTTTGTATTTTTTTTTTTAATGTTGTTTCGACCTCTGTCCCTTTTTTAGATCAGCGTTTTCAGACAGAAAAGATTATTTTGGACCAGGGTCTAAAGCAGTGTTTAAAGCTGTGTTTCCGCAGTCAGAACTACAGGAGTGGAGGCAGAATGCAACCCCCTGGCCCTGCAATTATAGTCGAGATCAGACTCTACTGAGAGCACTGGAAAGCAACACTCCCATCTACTGGCAGAAGTAGGAAGTTCCATGGATCTGCTCAAAATTAGAATCCACCATGGGACGTAGTTGCGACGAACGTCATGAGAAAATACATGAAACAACAGGAGACAGATGTGGACGGGGCCTGGAACAAGTGTTCTTAATGCTTGTGGGGACTGTGGAAGCGACGGCCTCAGACTCAGCAGCACAGGAAGTCCTCTGTGAACACGAGGATACTTGGGGGTCACTATACAGCACCTTGACGTGGATCTGGTTGCGGAGCACAGCCGCTCGGAGGATCATGGCTTTGGCTCTGCGCTGGAACTCTTTGCCCATGTGCAGAGACTTCTCAAACGTGGTGCTCCTCTGGTCCACATCTCGGGCGTACAGGATCTGCCCAAAGAACAGACGCACGGACATGTAAGAGTGACAAAAGACCACGTCAGGTTCTCTTAGCACCTGTTGCCATACCAACCAACTACTCAAAATAATCATCACATTGAGAATCGTTCCAGATGCAAATGACCATCATATGGAAATACGTATCGAATCAGTGAATGTTGTATCTCTAGTGAGGAGCACAGGTCTCTATATATTTTTGATTATCTGTGTAGAGTGTTTTTAAAGATTCAACATATTCTGTTGAGTCTTTAAAAACATTGAAATCTCTCGAACAGTGAACAACAACACTTGTTGTACCTTGCTGTGGGAGTCGATGCGGCCGTTGATCAGTCCCTCGAGGATGAGTTGGGTCAGCTCGTCCTCCAGCGCTGCCACCGTGGTGTTGAAGGCTATCGCCATCTTTGTCATGTCCGCCGATACATACGGGCTAAAGTACTGTCGCACACACACACAAACACAAACACGAAGCCCTTCCTCATCAGAATTTCATCTTTTAGAAAGTGAAATCATTACAGAAATGGAAAAAGCAAAGATAACATGACAACAATTTGGGCCCAACGTGACGTGGGCGCTTTCAAAAGGTTATTTTATCTTAAGCTTTTGTAAGTAAGTCATCTTTATTTATATACCGCCTTTTCACTGCAGATCTGAGTCTCAAAGCAGTTTACAATTGTTATTTTGGGCATTTGTCTCTCACTCCACACAGAGATGGGAGCGGGGTCGCCGAACAGGAGGCGCATACTAGAACTATTGGACAAATTTTTAGTGGTAGGGGAAACCGGAGCACCCGGAGGAAACCTACGCAGACACAGGGAGAACATGCAAACTCCACTCAGAAAGGCCCTGGTCCGACCGGGATTCAAACCCAGGACCTTCTTGCTATCCACTCAGCCACCGTGCCGCCCATTTGGTGGGACTTTGATCCACTCCTCCTGAAAGAACTAATGCAACTGATTTTTGCCTGTACCCGACTTTTCCAGCTGTGCACAAATGTTAAATGGGATTGGGCTGTCATGGACACTAGGCATGGATTTGTGTCCTTCAGCCATTTTTTGGATATTTAGAAGTTGGCTTGACCTCAGTGTCCATCTGGAAAACCCATCTGTGACCAAACTTCAAATCTCTCTTTGGAGGAGCAGTCACTCTATTCTGAGCTCCACACTCCATCTCTAAGGGAGCACCCAGTCACTCTACAAGGGACACTCATTTCCACTGCTTATCCTTTGACTTATGACCATGGAATAGAACCAAAGAACGTAAGTGTGAATTGTAAACATCTGAAAAGGGAGAAAACAGTGTGTTCCTATTGTTGAAAATAATGTCCAAAGACTTCAGTGTAATGTCACCATACTCTACAGTAGAAGCGTCATCTTCAAGTCCATTTGGGACAACAGAGACAAGAGCGGGTGACACTGACCTGGATCAAGGCTCTGTTCCGGATCTGGCTGTACAGTATCTTTATGTGAGGGGCCAGGTACATGTCCAGCAGCAGGTTGTCCTACGCACAAAGACACAGCAGAGGTCAGAACCGCCTCCTCATCCCACGGATCAGACCGAGCGAAAAAGAGCAGGTCTCACCTTCATCTCATCCAGGAGTTTGAGGCAAGACGCGTATTTCGACTCGTAGAATTTGAAAATAATGTCCCGGATCTGAGGTTCTAGTTCTAAAAATAACTTAAAGGAGCTGAAAATAGAGCGTAAAGTTAGAATAAAAACCATGATTATGTTGAGTGTGCTTTCTTTAAATCTATAAGACTTAGGTGCAGTAAAGTATTTTGTTAGCTTAGCAGTAGCATCAGAGTCAAAACCACTCCAAAAACTACTCCAAAATATTGATGATTAATTTTATGAGGCTGCAGGCTCCTGGTCGTGTTCATTCCTATTTGAAAACACATTATACAAATTTATAATGCACCTGGATAAATCAATGACTGCATCTTTAAAATAAAATAAAGGGGTGGGCAATTACTGGGATATCGCCCTATTGTGAAGGGCCGGAAGTGTGTTCATGTGGTTCATTAAATATGTATTTTTGCTAAAAGCTACTTCAAGATGTATGTTTATGAAAAAAAATTATTATTACTATTAACATTTTGGGTTCATTAATTAGCACAGGATAAAAGTACAACATGCCGTGGTCGCACAGAGTAAGCTCCAAGCCTTCATTTGCATAAAAATCAAGCATCAGACCGGTATGAGGCTGGACAGGGGCCGCATGGAAATGTGAATCGGGCCGGATGCCACTTTGCCCAAGTCTGCTACAGCTCTTCCTTTTATGTGGCCTAAGTATGGTCCTCTCAGTGCGGGTGAGGAGCGGGTGAGGAGCGGGGCAGTGGGGGGGGGGGGGGTCCTCACCTGCTGGAGATGACGTTCCGCTGCAGCTCCTGTCTGTCGAAGGTGGCCAGCGCGCACAGGCCTCCGTACACCGCCACGTTACTGGGGGAGAGCAGCTGTGGAGAAACAGGGGAGTCAGAGGGGGAGGCAGCTGTGGAGGTGAGGTACAGGGGAGTCAGAGGGAGAGGCAGCTGTGGAGGTGAGGTACAGGGGAGTCAGAGGCAGCTGTGGAGGTGAGGTACAGGGGAGTCAGAGGCAGCTGTGGAGGTGAGGTACAGGGAGTCAGAGGCAGCTGTGGAGGTGAGGTACAGGGAGTCAGAGGCAGCTGTGGAGTGAGGTACAGGGGAGTCGAGGCAGCTGTGGAGGTGAGGTACAGGGGAGTGGAGGGGGAGGCAGCTGTGGAGGTGAGGTACAGGGGAGTCAGAGGCAGCTGTGGAGGTGAGGTACAGGGGAGTCAGAGGCAGCTGTGGAGGTGAGGTACAGGGGAGTCAGAGGCAGCTGTGGAGGTGAGGTACAGGGGAGTCAGAGGCAGCTGTGGAGGTGAGGTACAGGGGAGTCAGAGGGGGAGGCAGCTGTGGAGGTGAGGTACAGGGGAGTCAGAGGAGGCAACACACACACACACACACACACACACACACACACACACACACACACACACACACACACACACACACACACACACACACCTTGTGTGTGGGGCAGCTCACCTCTGGACAGTCGCAGTGGTCGAACGAGGCCTGAAGAAAACACTTTGCTGCAGGTTTGTATTTACGAGACGCCAACTCTGCCAGACCTGAAGAGACACAGGCATCAACAACAGCTCACCCCACACACTCACACGTACACAAACACATACATACACTTGCACGCACACTTACAAAATACAAAAGTGGACTGAAATATCCCCACAGTGGGACGAACAAAGGACCTTCTTCTTCTAAAGCTCAAAGTCCATTTTCCATATACTCTAATGTTTCAGATAAGATTTTTTATTTATTTTTTACCTCACAATGGAGAAATCGCCACCATCTTTGAGCCGATTATCAACACTATAACAAAGGCTTCTCACTTTGCGTGTGCGGAGTCTGTCGTACATACAGTAGTTTCACCTGAACACCCACTGAACTCACCGGCTGCACATTTTAGTTTGGTGAGAACGGCCTGATTTTGGCTGTCTCTCTCCCCTCTTTGCTGTGGATGAAAACATGTTGTTTAGATAAGGAAAAGGAAAAGAATTGAACGGTTGTGAGTGGGACGGACCTCTGCGATCTCTGGGGTGGACTCTGCCTTGTTGACGTAGCTCAGGACGTGGGACCAGTTCTGTAGGTACACACTGACCTGGGAACACACACAACATCAGCTTTGTGTGCGTCTGTTGGCAGAAGTACATCTGGGACATGTGACAAGACGTGATCCATTCCAATTTCAAGATGATTTGAGGTGTTGGCGGGGTATGTGCTCTCCGAGTGCATATTCTAGTTACAATTTATACTTTATTATTTTGCATAGATAGAGGAGTTAGATAGAAATAGAGAGAGATCGGAGGAGAAATGCAGGTGTCCAACAGCAGAAACACATCTATCTAGACAAACATTAATAAATACATCATTCTAAAAGTCGCAAACAAAAGTTCGAAAGTGCAAGTGGGGCGGCACGGTGTAAGAGGGTCCTGGGTTCGAAACCCAGAGGGAACAGGGTCTTTCTGAGAATGTGTCTACGACCGCGACCACTGCTCCTGATAATCAATCAATCAATCAAAGTTTATTTATAAAGCGCTTTTTCATACAACAGATGCAACACAAAGTGCTTTACAGTTTGGCTAAAAAACAATCCTGCCCATGCCCTCCCCCCGACCGCCCAACAGACCCTCCCAGACCACAAGCAAACACACACACGCACCGATAAAACAATAAAACGATGATAAGAGACTTGGCAGGGTTCAGATGCAACCGGCTGAAGAAACGCCATCCAAGGAGCCGTCAGCGCCAGGAGCAGAGAGCCGCCCATAGCAAAGGGGACGACACAGGACCCAGAGGGGACCAAAACCGAGGCCCCGGGCCCCCACAGGTCCAAGAGTCGACCCCCACAGCCACAGCCAACCACCGCTCCCAGCGCAGAGGCTCCTCCAGAGGAAACACTGGGGATACTTAAAAACAATACAATAAGTAAAACACTAAAATGTGAGCCTGAAAGGAACTATCACACAAAACATGAATAAAAGCAATAGCAATATAATAAATAATAAAGGATAAATAGAATGGATAAAAATGGACTAATAAAGTGGTGTGTCTTTGAGCCTGGCTTTAAAAATATGAACGTTCTCTGCGGCCCTGAGCTCCTCCGGCAGACTGTTCCAGAGACGGGGGCCGTAGTGTTGGAAAGACGCCTCACCGTGAGTGTGTTGTCCTGACTTTGGGGATGGTTAGGAGTCTGCTGCCGGAGGAGCGCAGGGCCCGGGAAGGTTCATAGGATAAAAGCAAATCTGAAAGATAAGAAGGCCCAAGACCATTAAGACATTTGAAAACATTAAAAGAACCTTAAAATCAATCTGAAACACACAGGGAGCCAATGCAGCGATTTTAAAACCGGTGGTAATGTGGTACCGCCCCCTGGTCTTAGTCAGGACACGTGCGGCCGAGTTTTGGAGTAATTGTAAACCTGAAATGTTCTTTTTGGGAAGACCAGAGAGCAGGGCATTACAGTAGTCAATGCGACTGGTTATAAAGCATGCATCAGCGTCTCCGTGTTGCCCCCGAGAGAGATGGGGCTGGACTCTGGCGATGTTCTTTAAATGATAAAAACCCCCTATTTTTGTGATATTCTTAATGTGATGAATAAAAGTCAGCTCAGAGTCAAAGATTACGCCCAGGTTTTTCACTTGTGGTGATGGATTAAAAGGTGTGATTGGAGTTTTGGTAAAAGTTTCTCTCTCTGGGCCTCAGGACCGATGACTAAAACCTCAGTTTTGTCCTGGTTGAGCTGGAGAAAGTTTTCTGCCATCCAGGATTTCAGGTCTAAAATGCAGTTAAAAAGAGCATCCCATTGGCCTGGTGTCATCAGGAGACATGGAGATGTACAGCTGTGTATCATCTGCATAACTGTGGAAGTTAATTCCCATGTCTCCTGATGACACCGCCAAGAGGGAGCATGTACAGGTTAAAAAGGACTGGAACCTAAAATGGAACCCTGGGGCACACCACATGATGATTTTATGGACCTGAGAGGAGCAGGGTATCCAAACTTACCATGAAGGATCTGTCTGTTAAATAAGAAGTGAACCATTTGTGGACAGCACCAGAGAGGCCGAAGGTGTTTCAGGCGGGATAAAAGAATGGTGTGGTCTACTGTGTCGAATGGCAGCGCTAAGGATCCAGTAGAAACAACACAGTCCACCTTTTGTAGAATCATAATTTAATCTAAAATCATTTAAAATCTTTAAAAGAGCCGTCTCTGTGCTGTGGTTCACCCTAAAACCTGATTGAAATTCTCTCAAAATTTTGCTGCTGATCTAAAAAGGCATTGAGCTGGGTAAAAACAAGTTTTTCTAAAATTTTGCTTAAAAATTGTAAGTTGGATACCGGTCTGTAGTTGTTAAGATCATTTAAAATCTAAATTGCTCTTCTTCAGAAGGGGTCTCACCACAGACGCTTTGAAGGCTGCAGGAAAGACCCCAGTCTGAAGAGAGCAATTCATCAGGTTTTTAAAAGCTCCTCTATAAAAGATTCATATAAATGACTTAAAAAATGGAGTGGGGACTGGATCTAAAAGACATGTGGTGGGCCTCACTGAGGAGAAAACTTTATCAAGCATGCTCAGCATCAACCAGGACAAAACTGTCCAGTGTTTACCTCTGGCTGAAGACAAACAATCAGATGTGTTAAAAACAGTAGTACGGTTGGATAAAATGTTACATCTGGATTGTGTTTATCTTCCCCATGAAGTGGACTGCTAAAATCCTCACAGATGGAGTCTGTGGGGGTTAAACGAGACATGCTAAAATCAGGGTTTAATTTAAATTGGTGTCAATGGTTGAAAATAGGACTTTCGCATTGTTTTTTTGTTTTGGGTGATTAGTTTTGAGAAATAATTGTTTCGGTTTTCCTAATTGTTTTTGTTGTATGTTTTTTGTTGGTTACTGTACATTTCGTAATTGCATTTTGTTTTGTATTTTCCTCCACCTACGTTCTCTCACTCTCTTTTCATTCTCCTTACTTCTTCGTTCCTCCATGGGGGTACAGATTTTGTTCCGGTAGTTTTTGTTTTTCAAAAGAAGCAACCTGATCTAACGTAGTTTTGAGTCTACTGTTAAAATCATTTGCTAACAGATCACAGGGGGCGGGTAAAACCAAGTGAGGAGTGTTATTAAGAATGTCTATAAAATTTGCAGCCACTTCAGGGGTTAGATGTCGCACATAAAGAACACATTGATTGTTGTACAGTCTTATAGCTGAAGGATCTCTTAAACCATTCAGTTCTGCAGAGCAGAGTGTTTTACGGTTACAGAGCAGAGGGTGAAATGGAGAGAGATCCTTGAGTGCTGTACCTTGATGACATTGAGGCACATGTTGATGACGTGCTTGGCGCTGGTGCAGTAGTCTCGTGCTCTGGAGTAACACTTGAGTGCGTTGCTGAGGTCTCCACAGTCCAGGTAGTGGTCTCCCAGGTCGTCATGTCCTCTCCTGCTCACACAGCAGAAGGTCAACAACGCACACCACACTTTAACCAACGATAATCACACTCATCTGCACATCTCCGCCAGCTCTGAAAGCTATATGCCCGATGGAAGTTCACAATACATTAAATGTTATGTGTGAATCCTCAACAACAGATCAGAGAATCAAACAGTTTGGACACAGGAAATACAATAAAAACACATGTATAGGAGCCATTGGTCCATAGGCTTTGATTATTCCAGGTTCTTAACTCATTGACTGCCATTGACGTGTTAACACGTCAAACTAAATAGTAACGTTGTCTGCCAATGACGTGTTAACACGTCAATTGCGTTTCCCGCTATTTTTACGTTCCCAGCTGTCCATTGAATCTAATATGTGGAGATTGGCTTGAGGCAATACTTTATGGAGCCAGCAGATGGCAGCATTGCGCTATGAATGGTTTGAACACAGCTAGATGCACTGTTTGTGGCCCTTTTTTCTCAGCTTTCTGGTGATTTCAATAAAACTTCCCTCTACTCAACTGGGGATTACAGAAGAACTAAACAAGATAGAAACAAAATTCTTTTTGCTGGTGAGAGTAGACAGCCCATTCTTTCAGAATCTAGTTTTAGATTTCAGATAGTCAAAGTACACAATATTCTGTGGGTCTTGAAAAATCAGTAAAAACCACCAGAAACGGCTGGCAATATGGGAGTACCTGTTTTGAAATGGGCTGGCAGTCAATGAGTTAATGATTATTATGAACATTAGCCTCTGGCCACCAGGGGGCAGTGATCTTAACCATCATTCAGGATTAGACACATGTTTGTGAATCAAAGAAAAGCTGCTGATGGCATGAGGGTCAGCACTAGATCATATACGGAATCGGGACGGAAGCGGAAGTAAATATTACAAATGACCTATTAATGCCTAAATTTAACCAGCTATTCCCATAAAATAACCCCAACCCAGCCTTAACCCTAACCTTAACCATCTTACTCAGACGCCTAAAACTTAACCAGTCACCACTTAAGGACTTATTAGTCTAAAACTAATTCGAAAGTACGAGTGTTACTTCCGGTTTTGTCCCGATTCCGTATATGATCTAGTGCCGACCATGGCGTGAGTAGGAGAGAGTATTTGACAATTCAATGTTAATAAAATATTGAAATTTTAAATGTACTAAATATATCATGATAAAAACCATTGTATTGTGTAGCAGACTGAAGTGTGCCATGTCATTTTTAAGAATGTATAAGACGAGATAAATGTTCGATCCAATCCTTCCAATAAGCTTCAGTGTTAGACATACCTGATGCTCTCTTTGATGGAGTTTCCTTTGTAGTTCTTGAGGTCTGTGTCAAGTTTTTCCAGTTTGAGCAAAGCTTTTTTTCTGGTGGATTCCGCCCATGCAGAGTCCAGGGGAGGGGGAACAGCGCCCCCGTCAGGCACCGTATCGGGGACAGCCTGCGCCTCCCTGAACACACACGTCATTCTAATGTTAAGCTGAACAAGAAATCTCTGTACAATAATCCCTCGTCTGATGTTGACCTCATTTAGAAATTGGGTTATTTCCATCGGTGTGAGTAAAATCCAGATAGAACTTTTTAATAAGGGGGGTCACTTAATAATGTCGGTCCCAGGAACGTCAACTTATGGAAGGTAAGAAATACTTTAAAATAAAATTGGGTATGATGTGTCCATCAAACTACATTAGCGCCATTTACGGAATTTTTTGACAAAATCATGAACAAATATCATCATATACAGACAGGATTACAAAGGTTCTGATCTCTACAATGAGGTACAGCATGGGTATACTGGTAGTGCTGAAGTTGGCTAGATGAAAGTACATCAATGGCTTCTTCGGGTTTGCAGGCAGAGGGTCACATACAATGACAAAGAAGCCTGCTTAGCCTTGGAAGTTCAGTGTCTGTTTACAAGAGTGCTATTAGAGCGGCCTTTTACAACAGGCACTTGTGGCAGCCAACCAAATCAAGACCTGCTCTGCCAGGTTCCCTTGGAAACAGATAACAAAAATACGCCAGAAAAACCTGTACTTTCCTCTCCTCTGTCTCCAGCGTAGGAAGTCATAAACCTCCAGGGGGCGCCATCGGCACAAACAATCCTTTCAAATAGATGTTTTTCTTTTTGAACTAGCTTTGAGGCACTTGACCGAAGTGGCACCCAATAACTTGAGAGTTACAGTAACATGTGATACAGCGGTATGACAGACGTTTTGGCACAAATGAAAAGATGACCTGACCTTGCACTGGTATGTTGTGATGATGTAATGATTCTCAGTGAAGAAATAGTGAAAATTCAAAGTAAAGTGCCAGAGATTAGAACAAACAACACAGTTAGTAGAGAAGTTCCGGTGCGTACCGCTCCAGCCGCGTGGCCTCGGTCAGCTTCCGGTGGATCTCTTCGTACGTGTCCACATTAAACGTTCGCTGGACAAAGGTGAGCGCCATCTTCAGGGCCTCCACCCGCAGCTGAGGGCAGTGCTCCGCGATGAACTGCAGCCTCTCGATGCGCATCAGGCCGCTGTAGCTGGTGGCATACTGCTCCAAGTCCTGACAAAACGTGGGTTAGCTTTAGCACTCGCTCATTACACAAAACATATCATTGGATGAAGACGACATGTTGTGGTCTGATTTGTTGACAACAATTTACTTTTACTCTGTTGTTACAAACGACATGTATTATTAATGAAAAAAAATGAGCGTTAATTCAGTGGCTTATCGGCAGAAACAAATATGCAATAGGAGCAACGTGTTTGGAAACATGTCATGCTCTTTGCAAAGAGGAAAAACAGCTGTGAGCGGATTAAACGAGAAAATACAAATGGAACATCATGTGTGATTCTGAGGCTGTTCACAACAACTCGATGAGGAGGATGTTTGCTGCGGTAACAGCAGCTGCTACGGGCTCAACACGCTCACAACAACAACACTAAAACAGAAGTTGAAAGCAACATGAATGAATATCATGAACCAGGCGTGCTATGATTGACTCTCGTCCTGTCTGATTTTCCTTCTACTCGTCTTTTATTTGTTGACAAAAATGCAGTTCTATTTTGTGCACTGTCATGTCATGTGTAAGTCATTTGTATTTCGATTTTGTCGTCTCGTCTTTGTCCACAAAAAGCCTAGAAATATTTTTGTTATAGTTTTTCTCGACATGATTATTACTGCAGCTGTGGGATAATTATCCGCGCCTTTGAATGCCCAAAACATTGGAAAACCTTTAAACACCAAAACAACACATATACATGTATAGATCTTAAAGTAAATACCAGCGTTGGATTCTCCACGATGTAGTTACTGTCCGGTGCATTCTGCTGGTCGTCCTGGGGGTCTGCATCAATCTGCATGGGCTCAACTGCTCCCTGAAAAAAAACAACAACCTTGTTCTAAGTAAATAATTAATCATACACGGATGTATTCAGTCATATTGACAATTATATGTGGTATGTCAAAGCATTAAACATGGCCAAGAAAGACTCTGGTGTGCGTGTGAATGGGGATGGAAGGGGCAGATGGCACATACTGGCTGCCTGCTTCTGTCACTGTGCCCCAGCTGTGGCTACAGAATTAGTTTATATAAAACCAATGCATTATTATCATTATCTTTGTGACTGTAGTTTTCACATGCATACGTATTTTAGGCATCTTTAAATCAACATGATCAGTTTGCAAATATAACATGTGAATATTTCTACAAAGATGAAGAGGGCATGTTGTGATCTGATTAGTTCCCAATCAAAATAAAAATGTCACTTTTACAAGACAAGATCTGACAATAACACATTGTTTCACAGTAATATAATCCAATAAATGATGCATACGTTGAGCTATCGTGATTGTAATGTGTATAATTATAATAGTATTCTAGTTGACTCTGGTTAGCTGTCAATAGCATTTCGTTAGCAGATTAAATACCTATAACTACATATATCTTATAGAGAATAATAGCGGTCTTGTTTATCACAGTTTTTTGTATGAACGATAGTAAGCTGGGTTTGATCAAAAGTTCCGGACAATACACACAAACAACAACAACAACAGCTCAGGAGTGCAGCGGTGTGGGCTAATGCTAATGCTAATGCTATGCTAACGCGGCTAGCTTGTTTTGACTCCGGTTGCAGCTGCGGCTAACGCGGTTTGCGGGAGCTCCAGAGGTCTTACCTGAAAGTTGAAGACCTGCACGGGTAGAGGCATGTCCTGCTCTGTCCGGAGGTCTGGGGGTCTGGGGGTCTGTCTGTCGGGGCCAAGACACGAAGACACGGCCGAGGGGACACACACGACTGTCTGTGGATCTGTGGAGCTGAAGGGGAAAGAAAAACATATAAGTTAGAAAATAATAGCAAAGTCAAAAATAGAATTGAATTTATTTAAAATAATAGCACAGTAGAATACTTAAGATATATGAGCAAAATCAAGTGGAATTGTGTTTATAATAAGTTTTTATTAATAAATAAGGCTGCCAAGTAGTAGTGCGCATGCGTGCGTCATCGCGTCCTTATTATGCGTGGCTGCATCCGAATTTAGCAAACCCTCTTCCTTGTCCTTTTCAGTGATTCTTTGAGCAGAATGTAAATAGTTTCGTAAGATTGTTTTTAAATGTTCCATACGTCATACAAATGAGAAGGAAGCTAAATGAAGGTATTTTCTGCTGAATTCGGATGCTGGATTCTTAACCCTTTCCGCCCTACATGACCAACCCACAAGTCAACATGTCATCTAATGCATTTTTCTTACTAATTACTTATTCATCATCATCGCACTTTTCAGAAGTTTTGAATGAATGACATTCATGTGGGGCAAATACATGGGATGATACCATATTATCCTCCTTCAGGTTGGGACTTGTACAGTCAACTGAGATGCATGGTTAAGGCCTGTTAGGTTTAATATTTACAGTCTATGGTTTGGAGGCAAGAAAAGCAAGAATATACCACTGTTCACAGAACTCTGACAACAATTGTATTCACTGAGTGCTTTGGTTGTTAACGAGAACCTGAAGTTACTACAATGAAGAGAAGTAGACTTTTATTATCGTAATTTTTGCGCTATCGTGTACGCATAAAAGTCTTTAATTTCAGTGATCCTTCGATGTCGGCTCTTCCTATCTTTGTGAAGCAGAATTCCCCAAGCGTTGGATTGTTCACCCTATTAGGGATAGTCTTATACAATTGGCCAATCCAGTTTGTAAACATAGATGGGGTTCTTTTAGCTGAAAATATTAGAATCAGGTTTTTTGTTGCCCTACAAATATATAATCACAAACAAAGTCAAGGAATGTTTATTTAAAATTGTACACAGATAATACCCTGTAAAAGACAATATTTGTTGTTTTTTTACCTAATGTAAGTAACCAACGTTCCTTTTGTCAATGTGATGGTGAAAGTATTGGACACTTATTTGTTGAATGTCCTTTGATAGTTAGATTTTGGTCCAATGTGCAACATTATTTGGCTGGATTATTCCATACAAATTTTATTATTTCCAAATTTCAAACTTTACAAATATTTAATGATCAAAAATTCTCCTCTGATGAAATCTATATTATAAATCTTATACTGATCTTACGAAAGTACTACATCCATAAAACTAAATTGAGTGAAAAAATACCTTCCTTTTCTGCTTTTAAAGCTTCCGATCTAAAAACCTACGTGGCCTCTGTTGAAAATGTAAAACTTAAATTAGAACAATCACATTGATAAAAGCCTTTAAAGTACTAGTTGATTAGCAGACCCCTGTATGTAATGTATGTATATGTATTTTATTTTATTTGTTCAATATTATGTTAATGTGCATTTTGTGTCTTTACACTGTTGAGAAATGTACTTGTCTTTTGCACGCTTTGATTGAATAAACAAAATAAAAAAAAATAAAAGAAGATTGTTCACCCACTAATAGGGAACGTGAGCTGGGTTTAGACCGTCGTGAGACAGGTTAGTTTTACCGACTGATGATGTGTTGTTACAATAGTAATCCTGCTCTAAAATCACTGGAGGAAATCTCAAAGACCTTCTCTCTTTGTGGGAGGAACAGGTGCTGAATAAAGCAAAGTGTTTTCTGGCTCAGCCCAAACCACCTGGAGCCCGCCGGGAGCGCTGTGAGGGTCTTTTTATTTTTACTTCTCCAGCGCTTTCAACACCATCAGACCGGCACTGCTGCAGGGGATGATGGAGGACGCGGGAGTGGACAGTACTGCATGGACCATCAACTACCTCACTGCATGGACCATCAACTACCTCTCAGACCGACCACAGTACGTGCGGCTGCGCAGCTGTGAGTCTGAGGTGGTCGTCTGCAGCACTGGGGCCCCTCATGGCACTGTCCTCTCACCGTTTCTCTTCACCATCTACACCTCAGACTTCACACACGACACACACAGCTGTCACCTGCAGAAGTTCTCCGACGACTCCGCCATCGTGGGCTGTGTGTCTGAGGGGAACCAACTGGAATAGTTACCTCCATCATGGACAACACCTCCGACTGCACAGGACTGTAGAGCAAGAAGAACGCTACCGCAGGGCCTTCATCCCCACCACTGTCAGACTGTACAATAAGTCACTACTGTAAGTCACTTGCATTAGGACTGAAAAAACCTGCACTACTTATTGACACTTTCTTGATTGCCGCTTTTTATTGTACATAATATATCCTGCATTTAACACGTTGCACATTTCTTTCTTTTGCACAATCTTGAGTGTTTTTATCCATGCCAGATGTGACATGTACATTTCTCCTGTGTGAGATCAATAAAGTCTATCTTATCTTATCTTATCTTAACATCCTCTGGTCACTGACTTTGTAATGATGCCTTCAGGCTGTTGTTTTCATGCCCCTGCGCGGAAAACAAACCTCTTTTACAATTATTTTGTGCCATAAAACTGTTGAACTCTGGTGGAGAGAATTGTTGTGTTGTGGTTAAATTGTAACTTGCTGCTGTGTGTTTGTGTTGAGTCGGTGTGTTCTGCTTTGAGATTATGCTGCAAATGAATTGTCCTTTGGGATCATAAAGTTTTCTGAATCTGGATCTGAGTCCATTAGCTGAAGAATGAAACTATTAGATGGACATGACTGTATACTTTAAACCACAAACTGTCTATAACATATACTGTATATTTGAGTAGACTTGATATAGGTACTAGTTGTCATCTTTAGAGAAAGCTTCCAGACCCAGACCAAGATGATTCCCACCTGTGCATGATCAAATAATGTATTTGTATTATGTTCCCACCAGCCTTACTTGACCATATCTTCTCTTCTTTCATCTAACTCTACTCTCAGTATCTCTGGATACTGGTGTGTCCTGGGTAGGTTGCAATAGGGTAGTACCAGATACTAAGGCCTATTGGAAATGCAGTCAGGTAGAATAGAGCAGTATAGGACTGGCGGAAACAAGGTTATATATAAAACATTTCTGGGAGCGGCCATTTAGAACACATCCAATCCAACAAGTTACGACCAGGTGAGATTAAGAAACAATTCCATGAGCATCGTGTGAAGAGAGACATCAGTGGATCAGCGGTGATATGATGCGCCTTGTCCCTTTTCATTGAACGTGAATGCAGTAAGAGAAAACAAGATCATACTTAAACAAAACATTAATGTTTTAAGGCCTAAAGATGGAAAGAGCAGAGCAGTGCAGCCTTCTCTGAGCTGAGGTGAGCTGGGATGTCCTGTGATAATCCTCTGGGTGCTGACCATGGTGCTGAAGGACACACACGTCCTGTAACGCACATGCACGCACCTATCACACTGCATCATCACACACTATATTCATGGGACCAAATGTAAACCCTTGTTGGAAAACCGTGAGCCAACCTTCGGCCTGGGAGCGAAATGTGGCCGTCAGAAAGGTTTTATTGCCCCATGTTATCATAATGACAAGTGTTTGGATAAAACTGCATTATACAAAACTAAACAACTTCAACACCGACCTTATTTTATGTTTTATTTTTACTCAGTCTCTACTCATTAAGGACCTGAATATATCTCTGTTTTCAAAGGGAAATGCCCGAATGCAGAATGAAACTCTTGAGGCAGCGTGGCGTCTTCAGAATACAGTAATCTGGTTGGACCTATATCAGAAGAGAAGAGGGAAATTGATACTATCGTTTTCAGTCGTGAATTATCCAATGGCAACATCCCATTTTCTTCATCTTTCTGACAGCACTGACAGACACGTGTGCGCGCCTGCCACAGATGCGCGCGCATTCTAGGCTTGTTCTAATCTGCTTTCCATTCTGCTACATGGACCCGCTCCAGTGCGCGCTCACCGCCTCTGCACCGGACACCCCCGTGGCCACCGGACTATAGCGTCAGTACAGAGTGGAGAGAGCCCCACAGAGAGCCACCCAGCAGCGGACAAAGCCCTCAGAGAACCCCCGAGCAGCGGACAGACCCCCACAGAGAGCCCCCCAGCAGCGGACACTTCTTGATGGGCTCAGAGGAGAGGGCGCGCAGGTATGCAGAGCTCTTCAGACAGCTGGACCTGAACCAGGACGGACGGGTCGACCTCAGCGAGCTGAGACAGGCGCTGGCGCAGCGGGGGGTGCAGCTGTCCAAGGCGGACGAGGTACGGGTCACACCAGCTGATATAAGCACACATCCCACAGCGGCGGATAGCGACGCGTTCGGGTTCTCATGTCTACAGCAGAGAGCGGAGGATGAGCATTACTGTCCTCAACATTGGTTTAGATAACCGAGTGTGTGCATGTTCGCGGATTAGGCCCACTGACAGTAACATTAGTAACATTAGAGCCCGGTTTTAGTCCCAGGCCGAGCTGCAGAAGTGTGTCTGACAGTGATTGACCAGAGTGCTGGTGGAAGCCATGGTTACCATGGATACTGGTTGGTCGTGGGTAAGTTGCTAGGATATGGTACCAAATACTGAAGAGCAATGTGTGGAAGTAAGTCATCTTTATTTATACAGTTTTTCTCACAGAGTCACAAAGCACTTTACAGTTGTCACAGTTCAGTGAGTGCAGGCCAGATCCATTGTTAATTATTTTAGTGTACTTGGAGGAAACCTGCGCAGACACAGGGATAACATGCAAACTCCACATAAAGGCCTGGGGGTGGATTCGAACCCAGGATCTTCTTGCTGTGAAGCATAAGCTCTAACCACTGTGTTATAGTAACTAGAGCTGCAACTAACGATTATTTTGTAATCGATTAATCTATCGATTATTTTTACGATTAATCGAGTAATCGCTTGGCTGTGAATTGTGTAGAAAAAAATCATTTTTTCATCACAAAAAGCTAAAGTGGCAACACTTGAGGACGTATTGATGGCGTAAACTTAAAGTAAATGTTTGTAACAGGCTCTTTGTGCTAATTCTGCTCTGATTGGATGAGACAGACAGATATTCATGAAATTATAAAAACAAAGTCGGTTTTAATCAAAAATACTACATTTTCATGTCATTTTTGCTCTGTTTGAGTCCGTGTGAACCAGAAAACGATTAATCGATTACTAAAATAGTTGACTATTTCAATAATCGATTAGTCGTCGATTAATCGATTAGTTGTTTCAGCCCTAATAGTAACTGTAAACCCTGCCATGTAAAGTTTACTTGAAAAAACCATGGAAATAAATTGCGTATTAACTTCACTTGAATTCCTCGAGTACACCCTTTACTTGATATTACCAAGTAACTCAAGTGATGCAATAAAGTTCAAATTTCTACTTGTTCACCGACCGGAAATCGTACTCAGAACCCTGTGGCCACCAGGCCACCCCGCAGTTGACACACCTGCCTCATTAAAGAGTCTACAAGTCAAAATTCAAAGAAAACTGAGTGATATAGCCAAGCTTTAAATAAACTAACAATAAATGAGTAATGTTTACTCACTGGGAAAAATCTATTTAAAATAACTTTGATATCTGAAGTAAGATTGAAGTTAGGGTTTGTGGTGTTTTATTATCATTAAGACCTCTGACCTGTAACTTGGGAGCCACCCCCTCCTGGTAGCTCCTGGAAGCTCAGTAAAACATTTAGAAACAAATCAAATAATATGCTGAATCTTTCAGAATGTATTGATCATTATTGTTATTTATTAATGAATATATGATGAGAAATACTGACTTCCTGATACCAGGCTCACTCCTGGATCACTTACAGGAGTCTTTTTTGTCTTGGGAAAGTGGGTGATAAAGATTGGAGACACTTGATTTAGACAAAAAAAGTGCAAAATGTATACTGTTATTAGCTTAACGTGAGGAGAGATGTACTTCCTCGAGTTATAGACACCGCAGATCAAATGGAAGATGCTAAAGCTTGATTTTAAATCATTCTGGTGTTTGGAAAATGTAAGTGTTATCACAGCACTTCCTGGTTGGACATCAGCAGGAAGTTACAGATAACAGCAAGGCTCAAAGTGCACTAATGCACAGAATATTTCCCTGTTGTGTTGCTGAGAACAGAATATGGGCCTAATGCAAGTGCTGTCAGTCACCCATGCAGATGGTGGAAACCAATACTATGGCCCAATACTAACCCATTCAATAATGTTTGAATGGATGAGATAGTAAACATTTGTCATTTAGCCAACATCATGAATCAATAGAAAACCACTATAACATATATCCACTTTCACACGCACCACACTGGAGTCGAACAGGGAGAAAGTGAAACCACAAATGGGGCGATAGCTGCACTGGATGGACTGAGATGATGAGATAGAGCAAACACAAACAGATGAGCCCAAAAGAGCTTTCACCGACCTGCTACTGCTCACAGCAATAATGATGGAAAATGGCTTAATAATAGGTGTGTGTCTGTGTGTGTGTCTTTGTGTGTCTGTGTGTGTGTGTGTGTCTTTGTGTGTCTGTGTCTGTGTGCAGATAGTTCTTGAGAGCGACACAAACCATGATGGACTGCTGGACTTTCAGGAGTTCTCCGAGTTCCTGGAGGTTCAGGAGCAGAGACTGTGGCACATGTTCACGGGGCTGGACCGCAACAGAGACGGTAACAGACACACAATCATCAGAATCATGGTCAGTGAGCGGTCTGTGCATTTGGCCTGTGATGCCCAATGTGAGCTGGTCAGAGTGTGTGCTCGAACAAACACACAAACACATCTTTCTTGTCTGCACCGACGCTTCGTAAGATCAGGATCGAGAAATCTACTTTGAACATGTGTTTTTTGTGTTTTTAGGCCGCATCGATGTGGGGGAGATCCAGCACGCCTTACACAAGCTGGGGACGGACGTGACACTGGAGCAGGCTGCACAGATCCTGCAGAGGTACACACACACACACACACATACACACACTGTGCAGAGTGTGTCAAAGTCTTTGACATTGGGTAGAGATTTAAAAAAAAAATATTTAGTATGTTGAGCTTTTAAATTGAGAGCCCAGCAGTCTTGTTACTCTCTAACTTCTCAAACTGTGATGTTATGGTCCGTGTGTGTGTGTGTGTGTGTGCGTGTGTGCGTGTGTGTATATGTGTGTGTGTGTGTGTGTGTGTGTAGCATGGACCGGGATGGCACTGGGACCATCGACTGGACCCAGTGGAGAGAGCACTTCCTCTTCAACCCGCTGCACAACATGGAGGAGATCCTGGTGCACTGGAAGCACTCCTGTGTGAGTCCCACCACATGCACACACATACAGACACACAAGCACACACACACACACACAAACACACACACACACACACGCTGACATGCAGACATGTAGGTGCAAAGACAAAGGTACAGACACAGACAAAAAGTCGCTGGTGCAGTTTGTTCAGATCAGATGTGTTTATTTTCCAGTAAGTGGTGTACATGACATACACAGAGGCACATCCTGAAGGTGGCGCTAGACTCGAGTACACATTCTTTGTAATCCCCTGTGTGTGCTTTCAGATGTTGGATATCGGCGAGGCCTTGACGGTGCCCGATGAGTTCTCTGCCAAAGAGCGGCGGTCAGGGCTGGTGTGGAGGCAGCTGGTGGCGGGGGCAATGGCTGGAGCCGTGTCCAGGACTGGCACTGCCCCCCTGGACCGCCTCAAGGTCTTCCTCCAGGTCAGTCCTGGAGGAAGGATAATGAATTAGATGCATACGTTTTTTCCAACATATTGTCAGTTATGGAAAGAGTCTGGACCAGAGTTGAGCTTCTTTGTGCATGTGTGCAGGTGCACGGTGCGGCCTCCAGGGGGCAGAACTTGTGGGCGGGGCTAAGGGGCATGGTGCAGGAGGGCGGAATCCGGTCTCTGTGGAGAGGAAACGGTATCAACGTCCTCAAGATCGCCCCCGAGTCTGCCATCAAGTTTATGGCCTACGAACAGGTGAGACCGACTAACCAGCTTCTGTTTTATCCATCCATTTGTCTCCAGTAGGTTAGACTCCTGTCACAGCCCGCTAAAATCTGGAACAGTCTTCCTAAAAATGGGAGACAGGCTTCTACCCTGACAAAATTCAACTGAAGGATTGTGTCTTCACTCTTTTTAATGCACTGTGATTATTTATGTCTTTCTTTGCCTAGAAAGAGCTGCCTGTCTCAGTTCATGACGGTCTGATCATATGGTTTGGTTTAGATAAAGCGGATTATTCATGGCAGTAAGGAAGGGGGCCCTTTGAGAGTCCAGGAGAGGTTCCTGGCTGGTTCTCTGGCGGGGGCCACGGCACAGACCCTCATCTATCCCATGGAGGTCAGTATCTCAGCCTCTTTTCAATCAGATCTACTATTAAGCCCAGTTTCCACCAGCCCACTTGGCCCTACTCCACTCTACTCTACTCTACTCGGCTCTCCTTTTTTCCATTACGCTATAGTATCTAATACCGTATCCTAGCAACCTAACCACAACAAACCAGTATCCATACCCTGACTTCCAACACAATACAATACAATTTATTCTTGTATTGCCCTAAAACAACAGCAGGCGTCTCAGAGGACTTAACAAAACCATTGAAATCACCAGCACAGATCAGAGAATCAACAGTTAAGACACAGAAAATATAGAATACATGGTATTGGGCCATATCCAGAGACCAATGTCCATGAATTTTGATAAATGTCACACATGTTGTAAAATGGTAAAGTGTCCTGGATCACCACAGTCCTTCTTGTTAGACACAAACTGTCCAACCGACTCCAGCATCAGAGGAAAAACCCAGTGGGAGAAAAGTGACAAACCTCGGGGAGACCCACAGAGAGAGGGATCCGCTCCACACGGACGGACGGGCTATAGACCCAGGACTCAGACTGTAGAACAAGGACTGAGGCTGTAGATCCAGGACCTACGCTACAGAACAAAGACCAAGGCCACGCAGCTGCCGCAGAACGTGGACAGGTCCGGTGCAGGACGGAAGCAGCTCCCAGGCAGGTTGGGCAGGGCAGTCCGCAGCCCCTTGGCCAACTATCAGTGAGGCCCATTTAGTGCCGCTAAAGTAGAGTAGAGAAGAATAGAGTAGGGCCAGGTAGGAGTGGTGGAAACGGGGCTTCAGCCTTGCTGCACATCCTTCACAAAGCTTTAACCAGCGCAACATCTATCTTCAGTCAACTATAATTGGACAATGGAACCATCAGCTCAAATATTGTTTTCAAGATCTATACCATTTATCCCTTTTCCAAGCGATAGAATCTACAAAGGAAGTTATTAACAGGTGTACAGGAACTCAAAGAAGACTATCTTGCATGTGTCTTTTTGGGCGTGGGTTCCCTGTAGTGTTTTGGACAGCTGCTCCCTGTCATTTCAATAATCAGAAACTGGATATGTAACAGATGTTAGTGACTTTTCTCTGGTGTAATTGTGAATGTGGGCAGGTGCTGAAGACCCGGCTGACCCTGCGCAAGACGGGCCAGTACTCGGGGCTGCTGGACTGCGCCCGTCACATCCTGCAGGCGGAGGGGGTAGGGGCTTTCTACAGAGGATACCTCCCCAACACACTGGGCATCATCCCCTACGCGGGCATCGACCTGGCAGTCTACGAGGTGTGTGTGCGACCGGGGCCTAAGACAGAGGGAGAGAGAGTACACACTTCTCCATCGCAGACACACAATTCCTGATCAGTTTGTCTCTCAATGTCCTGCTTCCACCACAACACACAACCCCAGAGAAGACAGCACTAGCTCCTACAGACGGATCAAACGTGTGCTACACCTCAACATATGTGGCTCTGCAGCAAAAATGCCTAAGATGGCCAATTGGTCCATGACAGCTCAGATAAAAAGCACAGACCAAATACTTCCATGGACAGCCTATGGGTCTGTAGTCTCCACCTGCCGAGAGTTTGTGGAGAAATGAGACAGAGGCAGCAGCGATCTCACACACTCAAAACCTCCAGTCTATTTTTCCAAGTTTTTCCAGATAGACTGTCACGTGGGTGAAAAACAAATGAGGCCCAAAATGCAAAACTGCAAAAAGTAATGGATTAAATAAAAAGATGAAACAAATCCAAAAACACCGGGAACGAGGACCAAACTAAAACAGACAAGGAATGACAATGACGGAACAGGGAGTGAAGGAACACACAGGGCTAAATACAAGACTAACGAGACACAGGTGAGACAGATGAGGGCAGGGCAGCTAATCAGACAACAGGAAGTACAACCAAAGAAGACACAGGAATAACACATTTCAAAATAAAACAGGAAATAAACTTAAACCATGACAGTACCCTCTCCTCAAGGGACGGATCCCAGACGTCCCAAAAACAAAACCAGGGAGGGAGGAGGGGGACCGTAGGAAGGACCGGGGGGGTGTAACCGGCACGTGAAGCCGGGGCCGGGACGTGAAGCCGGGGCCGGGACGTGAAGCCGGGGCCGGGACGTGAAGCCGGGGCCGGGACGTGAAGCCGGGGCCGGGACGTGAAGCCGGGGCCGGGACGTGAAGCCGGGGCCGGGACGTGAAGCCGGGGCCGGGACGTGAAGCCGGGGCCGGGACGTGAAGCCGGGGCCGGGACGTGAAGCCGGGGCCGGCACGTGAAGCCGGGGCCGGCACGTGAAGCCGGGGCCGGCACGTGGAGCCGGGGCCGGCACGTGGAGCCGGGGCCGGCACGTGGAGCCGGGGCCGGCACGTGGAGCCGGGGCCGGGACGTGGAGCCGGGGCCGGGACGTGGAGCTGAAGAGCTGGAGCAGGAACTGGAGCCAGGACTGGAGCCAAACGAGTACAGAAGGCCCCCTGGATGGAGAACAATATCCAGCGGAGCCAGGTCAGGAACGGAAGCCTGCAACCACCCAGGACGGAGCAAAGTGTCCTGCAGTGGTCCAGGACACAGACAGACAGACAGGGAATGCGTCCAGCTCCTGCAGCAACTGTCAAGACCAGTCGGGGACAAAGATGGGCCAGAGATGACAAAAAATAAAAAACAAAAATAAAGCAGTCTGCTTGGGCCTTGAGTGGTTCCATCATTCTGTCACGTGGGTGAAAAACAAATGAGGCCCAAAATGCTAAACTACAAAAAGTAATGGATTAAATAAAAAGATGAAACAAATCCAAAAACACCGGGAACGAGGACCAAACTAAAACAGACAAGGAATGACAATGACGGAACAGGGAGTGAAGGAACACACAGGGCTAAATACAAGACTAACGAGACACAGGTGAGACAGATGAGGGCAGGGCAGCTAATCAGACAACAGGAAGTACAACCAAAGAAGACACAGGAATAACACATTTCAAAATAAAACAGGAAATAAACTTAAACCATGACATAGACAACCCTTTTTATAATATGTGTATCAATGTGCATAAGAAGAGAGACGTCCTCTTTTAGATATTAATAAGGCTGATGCTTAAGATTTAGATACAAGCTAGTAATGTGGGTCAGAACAAAGGCGTTCAGTCCTTGAGATAATAATATTTAGTCCAGGCAATACACATACAGTATACACAGTATAACAGGGGTCCACAGTCCAAAAATTGCAGGTCAGATTCCACAGGTTCCATGGGGGTCCAGGGGTACAGTCTCTGGATGCAGATCCTGTATCCAGAGTTTAAAATATATCATTATTTTCAAAACGAAAGGTGAACAACAAGTAACACACAAATATGTGTGTCACCTTTCGTGTCACCCCCCACCAAACCCAAACAAACTCATACATTCACTCATTCACACCAGCATTCTCACAACTCTGGCCTTTCATCTGCAACATTTTAATAATAACTGTTCTTAGTGTATAGTCCTCATTGTCATCATCATAATATTACAAAATACAGCATTATCTAAATAAGTTGGACTAAAATAGCAACACAATCACAAAATTAAAATCCACAATAAAAAACTAGGAACAGAGACCAAAAAGTAAAATCCAATCCACTTTATTTATATAGCACATTTCATAAACAGTTTGTGTGCTGCACAATAAAATTAAAAACATAGTAAAACAGTAAAATACAAAATCAAATATGAAAAAACGTGTGTGCAAATATGTATGAATATAAAAATAACAATAAAAATAAAAAATAAAATAAAAGGACCATACAACTCACGCAGTGTTAAAAGCCAGAGCACAAAAATGGGTCTTAAGACGAGACTTAAAACACTCCACAGAAGGAGCAGTTTGAATATGGAGGGGCAGAGCGTTCCACAGCTTTGGTCCAGCCACAGAGAAGGCCCTGTCCCCCGGGTTTTAAGTCTATGCAAAACCCGGGGTTCTTTAAGATGCTATACTAATAATGATAATAATAAAAAATAAATAATAATAATACTGACGAGTGTGTGATTGGTGGAAGGTTGATCTCTGTCTGGGCTCTTCAAGACAGTGACTGTATGACACCTATAGACTTCTGGTGTGATGTGTTACAGACGCTGAAGAACGCGTGGCTGCAGAGGTACTGCGTGGGCTCAGCAGACCCGGGGGTCCTGGTGCTGCTGGCCTGTGGGACCACCTCCAGTACCTGTGGTCAGCTGGCCTCGTACCCCCTGGCCCTGGTGCGCACTCGCATGCAGGCACAAGGTAAGTCTCTGCTGATCTCTGCACGTTCAGTCTATCATCTGTCCCCATAATCATACCCTGTGGGCAAAATGTATTTCACTACAATGTATTTAAAACAAAACTATATAAACACACTTGTACTAAAAGTTCAAGAGACATGAGCGCTACAATGGGTTAATTTTTGACTGGAGCTCATCAGGAGTACACCATTGTACACATTTTATTTTGTACTAAGGTCTGGATTTGATCCAGTGAGCTCCGTTAACAGGTGGGAGGGGTCAACTCCTTTTGCAGGTTGAAACGATTGGATCTGAGTTGTATGTAATGCGCCCGAGTGAGTCGCTATAGCATTTAGCATAGCTTTAGCATTTAGCATAGCTATAGCCATCTCCTTTGGGTCGGCACTAGATCATATACGGAATCGGGACGAAACCGGAAGTAACAATCCCACTTTCAAATTAGTTTTAGACTAAAAAGTTCTTAAGTGGTGACTGGTTAAGTTTTAGGTGTCTGAGTAAGATAGTTAAGGTTAGGGTTAGGGTTGTATTTACTTTCGCTTCCGTCCCGATTCCGTACAGTATATGATTTAGTGCTGACCATCTCCTAACAAAGCCTGTGGGGAGTAGAGCCTCAACATCTTTTGCCAGCAAATCTACATTCCTCCTGCTCTGGCTTCAATTTCTTGATAGTTGAAGCCGAACCAGAACATATTACTTTACTATCGCATTCGTCGCTATTGCCAAACTACATTCAGCAAATTTGGCGCAAACTCTTGACGTCACCGACACCTGCCTCCCCCGCTCACTGAATGGTCAGATGGGATACAATCGAGAAAACTGAAAAAGATAATTGACCGAAGTTTACGAATGGCTAAGGCCAGGCTAGACCAGGATCAGTAGTGGGAAAAAAACCTCTGGTAATGTTGGAGAAAGGAGGAAACACAAGGCATACACAAGCAAATAGAACTCCTTTATGGAACAAGCTTTTCCTTTCTCCAAACATACTTGTGCTGCTACAGTATATTTACCTGCGAGGACCACAATGTTCTTTCCACTCAGATAAAACCCTAACCCTCTTGTATGGTGTGCCTCCCCCAGCCCTCAGCCAGGACAAGCACAAGCTGACCATGGTGGGACAGTTCCGGCTCATCGTCTCTCAGGAGGGCATCCCGGGACTGTACCGAGGACTCACTCCCAACTTCCTCAAAGTCATCCCAGCCGTGAGCATCTCCTACGTGGTGTACGAGCACATGAAGAAGGTCCTGGGAGCAGCCTCTTAGCTCCCCACACGACAACCACAAGTGCCTGTAGTGTAACTTTAGTCTGGCAGAGAACCAGCCCCATGCTAGTGAGTAGGCCTGCAATACCGCCTTAAAGAAGCAAATCAGAATGAATGGTCTGACAAAATGTCCTTTACCACCATACTTTCTTTTTATGTCATTTATATGTCTATACTGTCTTCATATGTCACTCGGAAAGATAGTTGAGAAATGGTAGGAAAATGAAGATTGCCTCCACACGCTCCGGGTGGGTCATCAAGACTCTTGGTCCTCCCAATTGTCAATCATTCTGGTGATACGTGCTCTTCAAATAAGACCAGAGAGTTTGGTTCAAAAAGTGGAGAGAGCGGTTCTTTCCTAAAATTTGGGAAAATCCTCCTTTATACCTTCAAGTGTGCAAAAAATACGTCTACATATAAAGGAGAAGTCCAAAAATACAGCCATAGAAGCCTGGCCTGCAAATCCAATGGAAAGGGCAAAGGAATGATCTGTTTGTATGGTAGGAGATGACGTGATTGAACCGTATATGGCTGGACTCCAAGCTAAGACTCCAGATGCCCCGATCTCTGTCCAGGCCTTTCAAGACGGGAAACTCACAAAGAGAAAATCAGCTAAAACAAATCACAAGAACACCACAAAACCAGGCACATTTGAGAAGCGGCTGGAATGAAAATCATCTCCAAATCCGAGGCCACGGTTCTGAAACAAAGGCTAGATTTCTGGAGCAGAGAAAGTCAGGAGCAGTGGTCACTACAGTGCAATGTCTGGAGACCCATTTCCAGAAACATGCAAACTCCACACAGAAAGACCGACAGAGGAATCAAAACAGGGACCCTCTTGCTGTGAGTGCTTGAGCCACCGTAACTCAGGAACAAGGAAGTTTTCCAGGTTTTCCAAGGTAGATTATACTTTTATATACCTTTTGTTATTATAATTGGGGGCAACAATGGCTCAGTTGGTAGAGCATTGTCCTTTGAGCCTGACCAATCCCACCACGGGACCTTCTCCGCCAACTCTGGCTGATGTCTGCTGCCGTCGTGTCCTTGGGCAATACACGACTCAACCCCACTTTGCCTGAACCCCCCGCTGAAAGATCAAGGCTGTGCTCTCACCGAAGGAGCAGCCATCCTCCTGTGAACTCACCACCTGCGGGCCACCCCCCCGACCCAGCAATGGACAAAGGGGAAGAAGATGGATGGAAGTATTGTAATTATATAAGATATTTTTACCTTGGAAAATATACTCCAGACCAGAAAGAATCTAAAATACTGTTTATGAAGCACTTTACTCTTTACAGTCAATTCTTATACATGCCTTTCAGGTGTTTACGCTTCAATTTAATGTGAACTTTGAACACGTATGCAGCTGTCTGACGATAAATCAGAAAGGAGACACAACGATTCTTGACAGCAGTGTGTCTGTCCAGAGTTTAAACCAGTGGTGTCAAACTCATTTTTGTCGGGGGCCAAGTTTAAAACACATACGAGCAGGTTGGGGCCAAACGTAAAAAGGTTGTTTACTTTTATTCCTATCTTTTTGAACATATTTTGGTATTTTGACCAATTTATTATATTTTACATGAGTTTTTAAATTATTTTCTAGTAGCTTTGGATTAAATCACAACCGGGCACAAATATCAAAAGATTCAGATTTAAATATATACAAAAATAATCCTTAGCCTAATTTAACTTCTAATTACACGTTAGTTAGAATTTTAGAACAGATTAAATTATGGTTGCTTTCCAGAGATAATAAGTTATTAAATGAAATACAATATGCCATAGTATCTTTACCATCAATGCACCAAGTTACCGTAATAATGATATTTGAAAATCAGTTTAAGATTAAGATTAAGAGATCCTTAATTTGTCAGTGGGGAAATTTCGGTGTTGCATCACAAGTTATAGAACAGTAGGAAAGAAGAGCACACGGCACACATTAAGTGAACAATAGCTATACTAATTAAAATAGTATAGCATCAATAATAAGTATAAATTCTCAATAATTATCATCAATAATAAATATATAATCTCAATAATAAGTATCAATAATAAGCATAAAATCTCAATAATAATCATCAATAATAACTATAAATTCTCAATAATAATCATCAATAATAAGTAAAAATTCTCAATAATAATCATCAATAATAAATATAAATTCTCAATAATAATCATCAATAATAAATATTAATTCTCAATAATAAGTATCAATAATAAGTATAAAATCTCAATAATAATCATCAATAATAAGTATAAAATCTCAATAATAATCATTAATAATAAGTATAAATTCTCAATAATAATCATCAATAATAAGTATAAATTCTCAATAATAATCATCAATAATAAGTATAAATTCTCAATAAGGGCGGCACGGTGGCTGAGTGGATAGCACTCTCACCTCTCAGCAAGAAGGTCCTGGGTTCGAATCCCGGTCGGACCAGGGCCTTTCTGAGTGGAGTTTGCATGTTCTCCCCGTGTCTGCGTAGGTTTCCTCCGGGTACTCCGGTTTCCCCTACCACTAAAAATATGTCCAATAGTTCTGGCATGCGCCTCCTGTACTGGCGACCCCGCTCCCATCTCTGTGTGGAGTGAGAGACAAATGCCCAAAATTAACAATTGTAAACCGCTTTGAGACTCAGATCTGTAGTGAAAAGGCGGTATATAAATAAAAACTTACTTACTTACTTACTAATAATAATCATCAATAATAAGTATAAATTCTCAATAATAAGTATAAATTCTCAATAATAAGTATAAAATCTCTATCTTGAAAAAAATAACAGATGTAAAAATTTTACATTTCTAAATCATTCTCTCGTTAAAATTTAAGGGCCAGTAAAAATGATCTTGCGGGCCGGATTTGGCCCACGAGCCTGAGTTTGAGATGCCTGGTTTAAACACACAACATATTCTGCTTGTTCTGTTTCCGGAGATTTGATCGAACTTTTCCTTCTCATCAAACATCAACAACAATCCCACCTCCACGAAGAAGAGAACCCTCTGGCCCCTCTTTAAACACACACCTTTAACAAAAACATGCAATATTCCAGATTATTTATGATATTTCCTCTTGATGAATGGGACGTATGTATGTGCATGTACTATGAAAAGTACTGTGTTTCTCCTACAGTTTACAGAGGCTGAGGGCTATTACTAGATGTATCTTTACACACTTCATTTCAATCCTTCTGCCTCATTGTTTCTTCTGTCCCGACGTGTGGAACTTTCTCTGAATGAAGACTTTGTAACTCGGATTGAACTATGTCATGTTTTGAAGTGGAGGGTCAGGAATGTTCCACAGAATCAACAAATGAGGCCAATATGGAAAGAAAGAGTGATTAATGGCACTGTATGAAAGGGGAACACCAGGAGACACCAGGAGAGACCAGGAGAGACCAGGAGACAGGCGCTGGGCAGAAAGTGCATCTAAAACACAGATTATTGTATATACGAGGCAAAAATATAGATGTGCTTTAACAATGGACAACAAGACTGCATCTCAAAGCCGACTAACAAGGGGTTTCAAAGTCCTCTTGCATTCTTGGGTCAAATTCTACCTCCACAGTGATTAAGAAATACCCTAAATAATCTTTTCCGAGCTGAATTTTGATAACTTCTCCTCACTTGAACAGCCCTGGGTAATTTAGACTATTTTAGGTCCTAAATTAGGGTCTATATAATGGCCTAAAACAGTATTTGTAATTACTGTGCCGTGTTATTTTGACATAAGGGTAGCACAAGCGCTCCAAATATTTATTTTATTACTATGGCCCCGTTTTCACAAGCTCTACTTGGCCCTACTCTACTCTACTCTACTCGGTACTACTCTACTCTAAGCGGCTCTACTCTAACTGGTTGTGTTTCCATTACGCTTTAGGATCTGGTACAGTATCCTAGAAAAGTACACACAACATCCAGTATCTGGAGAAATTCCTTGTTAACCATGGCTCTGGCCGATCACTGGTCAGTTAGAACTCATAGAACCTGGTCCAAGAGGAACTAAAGAAGGACCTAGTGCTGGTTAAACAGGGGTGGTGGAAACACTCCCAATCAGGATAGAGTAGAGCCGAGTAGAGTAGAGTAGGGCCAGGTAGGGCTGATGGAAACGGGGCTTATAACTGCACACATGTGAACTGGAGTCATTTGGATGCACTCTCTCAGCCTGATATACAGCAAATGAAAACAGCCCAGTAGACCAATAAGACGGTCAGGTGAGGGAGCCTCCACAGAGTCTCCTGTGTGTCTTTGTAAATGTTGTCAGAAATAACTAGTATTTATGAGCCTTCACAGAGCGCATGTCTGCATGTAGAGCCTCCGAGTGCACTCCGCTCTCTAACGTAGAGCTTTCTCCAGCTGCTTGAAGAATGCATGTCGCTGACGAGGCCTTGTGTGTGTCGGTGTGAGTGTGTCAGAAGGCCGCCACACTACTTGAATGTACGCAGCACTTTAGACGCCTGCGTAGAGTCCGCTCTGAGGCGTCACGAAGCCATAGTCGGCTGTTTGCATGTGCTGCTCAAATAAAGGCTTTACTCTCAAAAGGGTCTCCACGCCTCATTTGTTTTCATATCTAAAGTCCCAATATGTAAGATTTTCACGTCCAGTCATCATTAAATGGCCCTAATCTGTCAAAAGGCATTAATAAAACGTGCTCTTTTTGAATACTTCTTTAACTAATAACAGTAGTTCAGAGATGTGTTTTACAGCCACTAAATGTTGTTATTGTTTTAATTTTGACGTCCACCGTTTTACCGATCAGAAAGTATTGTTTTGATTCTCAAATAATTAACGACAAAACAACTAATAAAAGGAGTAATTCCATCTTTGAGAAGATCTTTGTGTTGGTTTTGTCTGCATATCTGGCAACCTGAGAGGACTGCAGAATATTGACCGTGATTGCAGTACCACTTTTGGCCAGATTTTTACACATTGCTCCTTTAATGTTGGCTGCAATTCCGTCTGGTTCAAATCCTTCATTGATTCAACATCGGGCAGTGT